ACACACAGACAGCCTCTCGACAATATGCGTTTTTGCTGGCTGTAGCAGCGCTATAGCGCTTCTATAACGCTGCACAACAAAAACGCATAAAAACGTATAATGTCGAAAGCATGTCTGTGCGTGCGTTTAGACGCGAGTGAACTCACTTTTTAAATCATCAACGGGAAGAACCGTGAAGCAACACTACCGTCCCAGCCCAGCTGTTTTCCCCCGTATGCAAGAAAAAACTAAAACATAGACGCATGGGCTGCACGTCTTAAACTGTAAATCAACAATCATTTATACTGTTAACAGTTAACCATTCATACTATTACCAAGTTTAGTGCAAAAACGCATGATCGCACAGGCAAGCCTAATGCGTTGCTGCCTAGGTTTTATTAAAAGGTGGTCGTGAACTTAGGTAAGTATGTAAACCAGGCCCGCGTGTCGCCAAAGGTTGCTCGTGTCTGTGTAAGGGCAACCAACGCCGCTTTAATTTGGATGTTCATAAGAAGTAAATTACACGTTGTATTATACCGCTATAATATTTGTTTTATAAACCATTTTTACTTCTACCAGAAGTATCAATACCGCCCTGACAGTCGATCTGAGAATCCCATGCCCATGATGCTACTGAGAAGATTCCATACATTGGGTGCAGTTATGAGAGCTCTTGATATGCTAAGACGTGGGTAGTGCTGAATTTGTTTTACTGCTATATGCCATGTCACATTACGTAAAATATACTGTATTTTTGCGTGAAAACGAAATTACACTATACCGTTGCCAAACAAAAATCACTGGCGACGTGCATCAGGCGGGACCGTACGACCATGCGTTTTTGCAACATTTCGTGCTGTAATAAAATCGCTCGGAAACCTAGTAGCTAGGATTTGTGACATACTGGCCCTCGAATTCTGGAAATGCGGTACTTGGGCAAGGAACGTTCAGTTAAAATTTTAGCCTCCCAATTTTTCTGGTTCTTGAGTTGGCAATTTCCTTACCAAAAAATTTGAAGAAAACATACATGAGAACCACACGTATCTGGAAGCTGAATTTGATATCTTTAACTTTTGCTGGAGGCTGGGAAGTTTGCAAATTGTAGTGACGC